ATTGTTTTCTCTTTTCTTTTTGGAGTTTTCTCTTAATGAGTACGTAGTGACCTTTGTCTCTTTTAATTAGTTTTGGCTCAAAGTTTGCATTGTCTGCAAATAGAATAGCTACTCCTGCTTTTTTTTGGGTTCCTGTAGCCTGGAGAATTGTTTTTTATCCTTTGACTTTTTGTCTATGAATTTAGTTTTGGGTTAGATGTGTTTCTTGAATGCAGCATATTGTTGGCCCTTGCTTCTTAATGCATTTGCCCAGTCTGTTTCAGGAGGATGGGGGGTAGGATGGTGAGACGAGTGAGGTTAATATAGTAGGAACAAGGTTGGGGGCACAGGTCGACCATGCAGGTTTTGGGTGAATGTAGGACATGAGGCTGGGATTGGAGTTTTGAAGTGAACCAGAAAGGGAAGGACACAGTTTACTCTCATCCAAGTGTCATAAAGTCAAGCAAGATAGTTGATGAAAGAGAGGGGGAGGATGTGTAGAAAAAACAAAAAGAAAGGTTAGGGATCAGCTGTGGGCTCGGACTGCTGGTACTGCGTGGGATTTCCACGTGTCTCTCTCATTCTGCCTGCCCACCACACGCACCTTAGCCAGGGTCCTGCTGTGTCGCTGGTGCTCCCGCGGGTCCCGGGGCCTGAGTCCCACCAGTGGAGGGAGGGAAGGAGGGTGGGCCTCAGACTCCTCTCCCCAGCCACACAGCAGGGACCATGGAGGAAGGAATGAGCACGAACTCCTGAGTTGATTTTAATGTTTATAATTTCCTGAAGGATCCATTTCATTTCCATTGCCCAAGGATGTGGCTCCAAATGGAGTCAGCATGAAGAATGAGACCAATCTGGGACTCACACAACACTTGTTTACCCCTTCATTTGTCTGAAAACACAGTATCGTAAATACACTACAATAGAAAAATCATCTTTGATGAAGGCATAGAAATGATGGCCCACCTTTATTACTCTTCTTATGGGGCAACTACGTCCTTTGAATCACGCATCCATATTGTAAACATGCAATGGAAGATGAGATGCTGGAAATGTTGTATTATCTTGATCTTTGATTATGTGGTGTCATCCCCTTATTCTGGGTGTAAGGCTGAGGACAAGCAATTGTGTGGAATAATACCACAGGGGCAAAGATATTGGAAAGTAAAAATATAAGCAAGGACAGAAAACTTAAGTGTACTTTAAAAATTTAGAAAACATTTTAAAGCAGTATTCTTAACTTGAGGAACTAGTTCAATGAAACTGCTTCCTTATCATTGACTAAAATCTTTAAGTTGGAGTTAAAGGCAATGGAATTCTTTTTTATAGAGAAAGGGAAACTTAATAACACCTTGGTCGACATTACCACAGCGATAGTCTGCACAGACTTAACCAAAATATATCTTGCTTCTCCATTAATTTTAATTGAAAATGAGCCTTGGAAATTTCAGCTACTAACTATAGTGGTTAAAAAAGCAGTTTTGTAGCTAGTTGAAGGAATCATGATGAGAAATTGTTCATGCAGTGTACCATCAAATTTTTAAAAAAGTTGTAAGACTTTTAATAAAATTGTATGTTACTTTTAAAAATAAAATTTTAATTTATTTTTATATTTTGTAAATTTGATATTGTCTTGACCAATTTCTTGTCACTAAGATACAATACTCACAACTTAAAGAAGTCTGTTTGGCTCACAGTCTGTAGAGGGTCTGGTCCATGGTCAGCTGGCTCTAGGCAGGGTGGCATCTTGGTGGCAGAGGAGAAACAGCCCAGGGCATGGCAAGCAGGCAGCACAGGGAAGCCAGGGTCTGATGCACATGGGTTTACGATGTAGCCCATGTTGATCTCAACTTTATAACCTTGTGCTTCAGCCCCCCGAGTCCTGGGCTGACAGGCCTGTGCCCACTACATCTGGCTCAGAATAATGTTTTTAAATAAACAAAATGAAATACATCAAATTACAAAAGAAATTGGTTAAATTTATAGTTATCCAAATGTTAAATCTGTGACACAATCATATCTACTTCTTTATTAATACATGAAACTAGAAAATAATTCATTGATAATATCGCTAAGTGAAAGTCACCTTTACTTATTCAATGGGAAGGTTGTGGCTGTTTAGCTTTGATGAGAACATTCAATTTAAGTGAGTGTCTTCCTCTTAATGAATAAGCGATAGTTTGGGGGTAAGGGGTATCAGGAGGAGCACGGGTTGGAGTCCTCCAATGAGAACACAGCGGGGATACGTGGGGCACGTTGTCCAGTTGCCTGTGAAGGCCTGCGTTGCTGTATAGTTGGTTAGCTGCTGTTTTAGCTCACAGGCAGTTTTAGGGGCGGGTGAGCTGCTGCCAGAATCCTGGAGTAAGAGTGGTTAAGGGCGAGCCACAGAATGTGAAATCTTAGCCGTTGTGCCATGACATGAAAATGTTAGAGATTTCTATTGGTGACAGAGTCAGAGTTGCTGCTGCTGCTGTGTTTTTTGTCTATATTTATAATTGAGAAAAATGTCAAGGTAAGGCCAAGTGAGAAGAAAGCTGTAATTTTTTACCACACCTGTGGTCATCCACCTGGCCAGTGCTGCTCTGGGACCCAGGTTGGGCAAGCTCGGCTTGGATTCAGGAGCAACCATTCGTGATGGGCTGTCCAGCAGTCTTTCTCTGCTGAGCACTCTCCTTTACTTGGTACTGAACATTGAAGAAAGTGCTTTTGGTAAGGTTAGTCCATTCTAGATGATGAAATCAGGCAGAGTAAAAGAGGCCAGAAGCTGTGGAATCTGACGGTTTTCAGATAAAACAAACAAACAAAAAAAAGCAGTTTGCAGTAAGAACAACCTACCTGGCTCTTTCTTAGCCCCGGAGAGCAGTCGAGTCCGTTCTTGTTTCTGTGTTGAACTTTTCCTTTAGGAAAGGGAAGATCTGAATCAGAGACTCATGGGATGCTTCTGGCCCCTGAGATGGAGCGAGTCCAACAGGGCAGATTTTGTGGGACATACTCTGAATTTATGGTTTCAATCAGGGCAGTTGGTCTGCCCTTATTTAGTTGTTTTTTTGTGTTAGTGGTGCTGGTGTGTTTTGGAGGGAAATATCCTTTTACACAGTGGGTTTAGTCCAGTCAGATCCTATTATCTACTGTAATCTGTGTTGCTTTACAAACATCTCCATTGAAGATATGCATGCTTAAATTATATGGAGTAGCAAGCGTCTTAACGGAAAGAAGCCTCAGCATGTTAGATCCAATTTCTTCCGAGCATCGAGCATCGTGGCTTCAAGACCGTTCTTAGAATTTAAGATCGTAAAAAGTGGAACACATTGTTCAAGGCTGAACACATTGTGCTCAGTTCTCTTATGTTCACTATGTTCTCAGTTTTGCAAAAATACTGAAGACTTTCACCGTTCAGCTGTGAACAAGGTTCGAATTTTAAAGTCCTCGGGTTTTGTTTGTTACACCGTGAGTCGCATGATCAGGATACAATGGACGCTAGAAAAATCCTACTTTGAAGATAAATCTGTCTTAAATGGAACCGAAGTTTTAAGATACGTACTGCGAAAAATGTTTAATTAGGGCGTCACCTTGAAAAAATAAAGCAAAAATCATTAAAACAAAATTCTTTTATTTCACGTAAGTTCATAACTGTATATTGATGTGAAATAAGGAATGAATTGAATGTTGATTTTTGTGTACATTTTTGACACGTGTATGATAGGAGGCTATGATTCCATTTAGCTTCTGAATTTTTTTAAATGTGATTGTGTACAGTTTTGCAAAAATTTTAAGGGTTTCACTAGTTTTCCCAAGGGCTTGTTTTCTACTTTTATATTGAAATTATCCTCTTTTGATGTGCCCGTATTGTCTTGCAGGTTTTGCAGGTCTTCAGTGTCTCTCTCCAGTTCTTGTGTGTTTTCATGGGGGTAGAGATGAGTGCGCTGTGTGAGGGGGAAGTGGAGTGGTAGCTGATTTGGGGACCTCACCCCCATTGGGGACCTTCTCACCTTCCCCCTACAGAGCCCCTCTGGGTCCTCCAGACGAAGTGGAGAAACCACTCATCTTTCAGCTGTTGTTTACAGAATCTTTAGCTCTTTCTATCTATGAAAACACCACAGGAAAATGAAGTTATCATTGCACGTTGACCACAGATCTGGTCTACATCAGGGGAAATTTCTAATACAAATCAAGTTTTAGAGGAGGAGAGTTGAGCTGGAACACATTAAATTTTTTTTTTGCTCATTCCTACTATGGAATCTCCCTTGGAGACCGGAAACTTTCACTGTGTCTTTTTGAGACAGGATCTCACTATGCAGTTCAGGCTGGCCTTGAGCTCACTTTCCTGCCTCAGCTTCATGAGTGCGGGGATGAGAGGCGTGCACCACCACGCCTGGTTTTGTGCACCTGTTTCCTGAAATCTCCTAGGATATTACCACACCTCTGTTCTTTCTTGGCCCATTGGCAGTGAAAACGTTGGAGTATATTTTCCATGCTATGCTATGGGCAGCGGATAACCAGTTGCATTTTGTGACCACAGCAGTGCAGGTGATAATGATGGTCATACTAGGGGCACTCCAGCTGCTAAAACAGGGTGACCTGGGTCCACGCTATAAAGCCACAGCGCACAGGGCAGCCGTCAGATCTCTGCAGGGAACCTAGAGGGCAGGCGCTGCTCTGATTTCCTTTTGCCAGTGAGGAAAGGGACATGCTCACGCTGAATGGCCACCCAGGGTCTGAACTTGGCGTCTGACCTCGAGGTCCCACCACGTGAAATGTCCTCCGTGTCCTGAGGGTAGGTTAGCATGCAACCCTGAGCTTTACTCTGCTTCCTTTTTCTTAGAATCTCTGCTTTCCAGAAGTCATTGGCCCTGAGAGCCTTCCCACAGGAGGATGCTGTGCTGCGGTAGAAACCAGCCTGTGGTGTAAGGTCCAAAATGTGGCCAGAATATTTATGAAAAATATCAGGAAGAAGCTCCTCCTCCTCTGCCGCCTCCTGTCGATGTCGCTCCTGGCCGGCAGGAAGGACACACGACAAAGTCTGGCAGTGGACAACCTTTTCTTTTATTTTCCTTCTCCGTACAGCCTGCCCTGGGATCGCTCCCAGCCGAAGCCTCCTTTGGTCCGCTCCCCGCGGCTCCTTCTGGGCTTCTACTTCCGGGCTTCTTCTTCCCCCCCAGGGGTGGCACCAGTATATATACGGATACAGTGTCCAATCATGTTAAAGTGAGCAAGGCAAGCTGATTGGCTAACATCATCAGTTGCCAGGCAGACTATATTGTTGAGCGGGTTGCTTACGCGGTAAGCAGGAAACTAACGTGCTCGATGGGAGGGGTAATCTACCTCAGGCTTTACTCTTTACTACAGGCCTCACGTCCGCCAAGTGAGGCGACCGGGCTCGGGCTGCGGCTCCCAACATCTCCCCCTTTTTTATTTTTTATGAATGTGCGCATCGTAGCCCTTTCTGGACTGGGTGCAGAGGCTTATGCCCTATGCGTAGGCCCACCGTAGGTCCTTGGCTTAGACCCTGGTCGGCCGTCCCATGGTCTGCCAAGGCCCTGAGGCCCTCGTCCTTTTTCTAGGGCCAGGCACAAACTGGACGGAACCTGGATGCACACAAGCTTGCACTCATTTCCTCTCCGTAAAGAAATCCCCTCGGAGAGAAATTTAGACCTGGGCAGCATCTAACAGTCCAGCGGCTTACGTGCAGGATGGGGTAGGGCCTGGCTTAGGTTGAGTCGCACCGGGGGAGTACGCTCTTACCCGTCATTGACTCTCCTACCCAGCTATGTCATAATTTTTTAGAGGAGGAGTGTGGGAAGCTCACCACCCCTAGACTCGGTCGTAGGCTAGGCGAGCGAGCCATGCATATGCCTGAGGATCTTCTTGTCCATTTTGGGCTACCGCTATTTTTATTCATCTTGTTGGTTGGTCTGTGATGGATCTCCGGTAGGGCAGGTCTGATCTTCAGTCGAGGGCTTTGTCGCCCGTGTCAGTCTCTCCGGTACCCACAGTGGTTCTCGTCCCGATTCCTGTGGGAAAACACAAACCGCGCCTCGGTTCCAGCTGACCACTGGATCCGGGCCCATCCATTGTCCTGTCAGGACATCTTTCCACTTCACCCACCCTTTATGGTTGGGGGAAGGGTTGCAGTGCTCCACGGCTGGGGAGCAATTATCATTATTTAAATTTAAAAAATTGTGTGTGAATAGTGCCATGGATAATCGTGCCTTTGGGGCCAGGCCTTGGCCTACTCCCCCTTTTTGTTTTTGTAAAATTTCTTTGAGGCTTCTATGAGCCCTCTCAATTATTCCTTGACCTTGGGGATTGTATGGGATACCATGTTTTAATTGAACCTCCATCATTTTGCAGAACTCATTGAAGGCTTTGCCTATATAGGCTGGTCCATTATCAGTTTTTAATATTTTTGGTTTGCCCCATGCGGCCCAAGCCGCCAGGCAATGATTGATCACATTAGGCACTTTTTCACCTGTTTCTGCTGTTGCAAATATGACGTGAGAACAGGTGTCTGTGGAAACATGAACATATTTAAGAGTCCCAAACTCCTGTATATGTGTGATGTCCATCTGCCAAACATCACCAGGGATCAAACCTCGAGGGTTTACTCCCATCGGTATGGCAGGTTTGTATGTGGCACAGGAGTCACATAGTCGCACGATATCTCATGCATCTGCTCTGGAAACATGGAAATGGTTTGCTAGTGTCCTGGCGTTGACATGAAACTTATCATGGAAGGCACGGGCTCGCTCGATTGGTGTTAGTAAGGTAAAAATCCATAACGGGCGAGTGGCAGTATCAGCAGCCGCATTCCCCTGTGCCATAGGCCCTGGCAGGGATGTATGTGCTCTTATGTGGGTGGTGAAGACCTTATGGTGTCTGTTCTGAAGCAATGTCTGGATAGACAGGAACAGCCCAGCCACTGTGGAAGTGGATCTAATTAAACCGGCAGTCTCAAGCACTTGCATAGCATTGACCACATACCTAGAATCGGAGACAATATTAATGGCTTCTGAGAACCGTTCAAGAATCATTTTAACGATCTGCAGTTCCACCACCTGAGGCTGATCAGGTTCAAATTGTATGGTAACCGGGGGCTTGCCTAGGATCACATAGGCGCCTATCCCCGTCTTGGAGCCATCTGTGTATATTGTAGTTGCTGGGACTAATGGCTCAGAGGCAGTAACCTTTGGAAAAATTATAGGGTGCTGAGTGACAAATGACAAGATAGGGTCTTTAGGGTATTGATTGTTTATATCCCCATGGAAAACACATCTCAGAATGGCCCATGTATCTATGCAGGCAGCCAGGGTCTTGATCTGGCTGGCGGTATAGGGTACTCGGATGGCTTGTGGTCCTGAGCCAAAATGTTGGACAGCTCTATCATGCGCTTCAAGGGCCAATGAAGCGACTGCCTCCGGGTAATGCTCTATGACTTTTGCAGGTGAGACCTTAGGGTGTATCCACAGTAATGGTCCTTTCTGCCAAATCACCGCTGTGGGCTGTAGACTAGTCTGTAGCAAACAGACATCAAAGGGTCGCCCTGGTTCAATTCTGTGTAAGGTAGCCCCACCTAAGGCTTCCTCCACTCTCTGTAAGGCAGCTCTTGCCTCAGGAGTGAGCCTCCTGTGGGAGGCTATATCTGGGTCTCCCTTCAGAAGGTCGAACAGGGGTTTGAGATCTGAATTTGGTATATGTAAATATGGCCTAATCCAATTAATGTCTCCCAATAGCTTTTGCATGTCATTTAGGGTCCTAACGCCATCCGTCCTAATGGTGACCTTCTGTGGAGAGACTAGCATAGGGGAGATTTTTGTGCCTAAGTAGGTCACCATTTCTCCTCCCTGAATCTTGTCGGGGGCAACATGCAGATTAGCTTGTCTCAGGGCCTTGACCAACTGGCCGAGCATATTATTTAGCATGTCTGGGTCCCTGCCGCTGAGCAAAAGGTCGCCTATATAATGCACACATCTTATCTTGGGAAAGGATTTCCGTAGGGGGGGCCAGTAGGGAATCAAGGTAAATCTGACACATAGTGGGACTGTTGGCCATACCTTGGGGCAGCGTTATCCACTCGTATCTGAGATCAGAGCTTTCTTGGTTAATGGTGGGTAAAGTAAAGGCGAACCTATGAGTGTCCTCTGGATGCAGGGGGATTGAGAAGAAACAGTCTCTAAGATCTATAACATAAACTGGCCAAGACTGAGGGATGGCTGAGAGAGCTGGCAGCCCCCTCTGGACCGCCCCCAGGGACTGCATCTGCGCGTTGACCGCCCTTAGATCATGGAGCAGCCTCCACTTGCCAGACCTTTTCTTAATTATAAAAATGGGGGTGTTCCATGGGGAGGTTGACGGCTTAATGTGTCCTAATCTAAGTTGTGTACTGACTATTTCTGACAAGGCTAATAGCTTCTCCTTAGGCAGGGGCCACTGAGGTACCCAAACCGGATCATTTGACCTCCAGGTGATTTTGATCAAAGTGGGTAGGAGAGCTTCTTCAGCGGCCCCTAAGAAAAACCCAGCCCTTGCCTACCTTTTTTGTTCTCTACTGGTATTGGGGATGTCCGACCCTGTAGGGCATTGCCCAAGCCTTTGCCGGGGGTATATCCCTGGTTCCTGAGTATATCCTTAGCCTGGGGGGAGCAGTTTGACGTAAGCGTGACATCCATCTGAGTGAGGATGTCCCTTCCCCATAGAGACACTGGCAACTGCAACACAAATGGTTGGAAATGGCCCTGATGACCCTCCTCATCGCACCAGAGCAGGGTTGAAGCACTAACCTGAGGAGCTGACACCATCCCCAGGCCCTGCAGCGTGTTATCTGCAGTGTTGGTGGGCCAGTTGGAGGGCCAATCCTTTCTAGAGATAATGGAACGGTCAGCTCCTGTGTCTAGGAGCCCTGTTATACTCTTGCCGTTGACCTTAAGTGAGAGCATGGGCCTTTTATCAAGTATTATATGGAGTCCCTCGAAGACTTCCCCTGAGGAACCGAAACCTTGACTTCCTCTAATTTTCTGCTTTGAGGGAAATCTCCTGTGGAGACTGGGGAGCAGCAAAAGCTGCGCTATCTTGTCTCCTTTATTGATTACCATAGTACCCACAAGAGATTGAACCATAATTTTAATGTGTCCTGTGTAGTCTGAGTCTATGACCCCCGGGACTACTATGAGACCCCGAAGGGCCGTGGAGGATCTCCCGATCACCAGACCCACGGAATTTTCGGGTAACGGTCCCTTAAAGGTGGTTTCAACCACTTGAACACCCATATCAGGCACTAATATAAGTCTGGAGGCGACACTGAGGTCCACACCTGCTGACCCAGGGGTGGCCCTTGTTGAAGGCTGCCATCCTGAGCTGTCCTGTCTCTGGGGTGGGGGCCCGCCTGTGAAGGGGGCCCCCTCTGGCCGTTTTTTGGCCCTCTAGCATCTCGTCCACAAATACGGTTGCCCTGAGCATCAAAGACCGACCTACACTCCTCAGCTTTGTGTGATCCCCTCTTGCATCGCCCACAAACATATGGTTCTTCATTCCTAGGGCGAGGCCTAGCATCTGCATTGTTTGGGCAATGACGTTTAATGTGTCCTGGCTCCCCGCAGGCAAAACACCCTTTAGCCTTACATTCCCCTTCTAACCCGCGAGGTCCCCTCTGCTGTACAGCTGCGGCCAGGAGAGCAGCCACTCCCGAGTTGGAGAGCGGCCCCCCTATCTCTCTGCATATCCTAATCCAGGCGTTGAGGTCCTTGTTCTTATGAGGAGCTATCGCTGCCTTGCACTCCTTTGTACATTGCTCAAAAATCAGCTGCCTTACCAGCGGTCGAGCCACTCCCGGATCAGAAAATATCTTATCGGCAGCATCTTGCATTCGGGCCACAAAGTCAACAAATGGCTCTGTGGTACCCTGAATTATTTTTGAAAGACACAAGGAGGCTGTTCCGGCACCACTTACCTGCTTCCAGGCGCGGAGCCCTATGGCGTTGATTTGTTCATAGACAGCGCCGGGGAACTGAGTCTGATCATCAGCGTGCCGACCTTCTCCCATAAGCATTTCCTTGTTCCACCCCCGGTTTCCCCAACTGGCGTTTCTCTCAGCCTGCTCTGCAGAGAACTCTGCGTACCAGGCTCGCCAATCCAGGTAACTACCCGAGGGCAGACACGCCTTTGCCAGCTGAATCCAGTCCGCGGGGGTGAGGGGCCCAGAAGACAGGTTCTCCAGCATGGCAATGGTGTAAGGCGCAGTCGGCCCAAAGGTTGTAACTGCATTTTTAAGTTCTCTAATCTGCTTTATCTCAAAAGGCTCCCATGCATTACGTCCCTGGCCCATAGCTACTTGTACAGGAAATATCCCGTAGGGGCCACTATCTATCCCAGGTGGTGGATGTACCTCATGAGACAAAGCCGCCTGTAAAAATACCGACCCGCCGGCGGCGGAGCATAAGACGGCGGCCGTGATTGGGCGGAAAATGGGGGCCCGTGCATCACTTCCTGTTCTGGCGAAGGGGAAGGGAGCTCCCGGGCGGCCGCCTCGTGGCGAGGGATCGCTTCCGGGAACAGCCCCCAAGGTGGGGCGGAAGGCTTCGCCTCCCTCTCGCGCCGGGGAGCGCTCAGGAGCTCCCCACTCCTCCGCAGACCAAGTTGAGCGGAGCGCAATTCACGGCGCAACGCTGGGAAAGAACCCTGCGACTCCTTATCGAGTGACTTAGGCTCCTGACAGCTGGTCTCTTTGGCCTCCTTGCCATTCAACTTTCCCTCGTCCTCGGAGTCAGACGACTCCGAGGCTAGAGCCCCGTCCTTCTCCCTAGCATCTTTGTTCCCCTTGACGGGCCCCTCTCAGGAGCTCCCTGACTGGGCCTGCTCAAATACCCTGCGTACTTTTGTAAGCTCTTGAGAGCTTTCTCCACAACCACCCTCGCTCTTAATGTTACTACCTAGCATGTTTCCCATTTTTTAATATGTTACTCACCGCGTGAGGCCCAAGGAATCCGCCACTTACGCGTGAGCCTGAGGGGAGTCTAAAAGCCCTGTAGGTGCGCGCCACCCAGAGCCCAGGCTTATCCCCAACTCACCTGTCTCGCAGCTCTGTACTGGAGCGTTGTCCGCTGTCACGTCTCGGGGGTGATCAGTCCCCGTGCGGGCCTCCAAATGTCGATGTCGCTCCTGGCCGGCAGGAAGGACACACGACAAAGTCTGGCAGTGGACAACCTTTTCTTTTATTTTTCTTCTCCGTACAGCCTGCCCTGGGATCGCTCCCAGCCGAAGCCTCCTTTGGTCCGCTCCCCGCGGCTCCTTCTGGGCTTCTACTTCCGGGCTTCTTCTTCCCCCCCAGGGGTGGCACCAGTATATATACGGATACAGTGTCCAATCATGTTAAAGTGAGCAAGGCAAGCTGATTGGCTAACATCATCAGTTGCCAGGCAGACTATATTGTTGAGCGGGTTGCTTACGCGGTAAGCAGGAAACTAAGGTGCTCGATGGGAGGGGTAATCTACCTCAGGCTTTACTCTTTACTACAGGCCTCACGTCCGCCAAGTGAGGCGACCGGGCTCGGGGCTGCGGCTCCCAACAGCCTCCTCCTCTTCTTTTTCTCCTTCCTTCTCCTTCTCCTTCTCCTCCTTCTTTAAAAAAAAAACAGACAAGAAAGAAGAAAATCCCCCAGGGCTGAGAGGAGCGAGGTCACAGTCACTGGTGAAATCACCACGGGTCCCCCGCTCCTCATGGTGACAGCCGGGGAGGTGCAGGACCTCAGAGGGGCCTGCCCCGGGCAGCTGATGTGCCCAGCCTGAGGGCCGAGAACCTGGGGCCACGCTGTTGGCAGCGTCCTGTTCTGCACGTGGCCTGGACACGGGGTGTGGGGAGAACCCCGTGCGCTCTCAGTGTGGGGTGCAAGAGGCAGGGCACGCGTGGCTCCTGCCGATCGAGGGCCTCTTCCTGGGGTGCGGACCAGGACCGAGGTCCTCGGGGGCGAGGGTGTCTGGGGGAACCCGCAGGCTGCTGTGGGCCTCACCCCGCGGAGCAGAAGGGAGCGGAAGCCTGGGCCGTGGGGGGTTCGCACTGTGGTGCTGACCGCGGTGCAAGCGTGCTGGGCCCTCACCGGACGCTGCTGAGCCCTGCACGCTTTCCCGGCTGCCCGCTGACCTTCGCAGGGGCTGCGCTCACGCCGTGCAGCCTTAACAGGCGCATCCACGTGTTTACAAACTGTTCCCACCCATGCATTAAAAGTTGTATTATTATTCATGCGTGCGCTCGGGCAGCGCGGACGGTGTCAGCGAGCGCACGGTGCGGTCTCCGCTCCAGCCCTGGCCCGGCTGTGGCTTTGGAGCCTACAACACCACCAACGTGTGCGCTGCAGCTTTAGCTGGGGACCCTGAAGCTGTGTGCAGACTGACGGTGCCCTGATTATTCTGGAATCTTTGTGATCTCTTTTTGCTGGCTATTTGTGTTTCTGTTCTCAGTTATGACACTATTTTCTTTTGGGTTTTTTCCGACTTCTGCAGTACTTATGCAGTTTTTATTGAAAAATGACGGATGGGGTCCCCTAGGCTTTGGGCGAGTTGCTTTCCTGGTTGGTGTATGCGTTTGCTTCCACCAAGTCTTCAGAAAGCATGAGCATCTCAGAGCCATTTTAACTACATTGATAGCCTGAGGTTTCCGGGCCACCCCCACTAGTGTGAAACGGGACTGAAAATCCGTGCACAGATTACACGGATTGGTTGTTTTTTAAATCCCACAAGCGCCAGTCTGCCCTGCTCGGGATCAAGGTCAGCAGAGGGCATCTGCTCTCCTCGGGGCTGTATTTTGATGTGCTTATCTCTAGTCGGTACCTTGGGGTGCCCATCTTGGTCTGAGGGGCTGGTGCCCTGGATGCCCTTGAAGTTGCAGCTAGGTTTTGTCTGGGTGAGCAAACACCCTCGGTGAGACAGCAGCTTTCTGGGCTGTTTATGTTCCTGGATGTTTCCTTTCTTCTAGTGTTAGATTTTGCATTGCATACTCACTGTGTAGGTAATTATTTTAAACATGAGAGTGAGTGTAAATAAGTTACTTTGCCATCCCTACATTTGGAAATTGTAGGGAAACTTAAATTTAACTGAATGATTTAGATTTTGCTCTTTTTTAAAGGTGAAATTTAAAAATAACACTAGGATGTCTTGGAGTGAGAAATTTTGAAAATTGATTTTGTGTGGTATAGAGTAAAACCTTTCTAGCTAATGGTTTTGTGGTTTTCTCCAGTTAAATAAAATTATTGTTTTATTATCTTTTGTTGAATATTTCCATTTATCCTGATCATTCTTTTAAAAACAGTCTGTTCTATCATTTTCATGCTTTTTAGATCATTTTACTTCTAAATGCAGGCAATTTTCTCAACTTATTTACCCTCCTGTGCATGCTTTTCCTGTACAGTGTTACTGCTATTTTGGTTTCTGCTGATATATAAAATGACTACATGACATTACTTGCTTCATTGTAACCTTTAATGTTTTTAGTGTCTTGTCTCACGTACGTCACTGCTGTCAAGTTACGTGTCTTTGTGTACTTACAGAATCCATGAATTTTGTTGAATATTACTCTTTGGTATAAATATTTTATGCAAATGATTGCATTTCTATTATTAATCACTAAACAACATCTTCTCTTGCTTGTGGAATCTTTGTATTACTCCATGTTTCTCTCCTCTCCTCTCCTTCCTCTCTTCTCACCGTTCTGTTTTTCTTCTTTTTAATTTTTAGTGCCAGACCAGGACCCAGGCTCTGTGAGTTCTCTGCCAATCAATTCTTACTCATTGCTTGGAGCAGAAAAACGAGAATAAATGAACAAAATTGAGACAACATAATGACATGCCTGTTGACTTACATCACTTTTAGCTGATAAATTTATTCTAAAGTACCTGTGACTCTCTCAACAGTTCAGAGAAAAATACTTTCACAAATGTTCTGCACACAGCGTGTCAGACACTGCTGGGAACTTGGATAATTTCTGTACTCAGGAAGCTTGAAGTCTACTTGGGGGCAATCTGCCGGTCTGTCTTTCCTTTTCTCTTTCTGTCTCTGTGTCTGTCATCTCTGTCTCTCTATCTCTCTCTTTCCCAGAATGATTTGCACAAATGATCTGCAGGAACATGTACTTGTGCATACCATTTATTTGTCTGTACCATAGATCCTTGGATGTTCACGGGCAACGGACACATCCACACATACCCAAAGAAGCCGGTAACGAAGGTAACATTTGTGTGAAATATTTTGTTAGTTTCTGTTGGAACCCAGAGGCCACCAGGACTCCTGCAATTTTAAACCGGAACTCAGATATTCCATATATCGCCCATCAGTACTCACCAGTGGCCGAGCCTCGGGTTGGGAACAGCACATGAGTGTCTGGAAGGTAATAAAACTGGTACAAATGGGCTCCCCATTTCTTGTCCAAGAAAAACCTCCTAATGGCTTGCTGATGAGCTCACCAGGCTGAGTGTGCTCTGGGTTGCCCTCTTCATCCTGAGCCAGCAAGCATAACATTTTGTTAACCTATTGACACAGAGGAAATTTGCTTTCCATCCGACCTTTTACAGTAACTGCTCAAAAATTACTTTCTCTTCAGCTATCAGAATTAATAAACAAACTGCCCAAGCTTAACACTCTTAGGGACATTTTACATTTTCTTGGTTTTTAGTCTGGATCCTTTTGTTTTCTTTCTTCAGCCATTCTTTCCCGATGAAGAAATTTTAATCTTTGCTGAAATTTTGCAAGATTGGCTTACAGTCACACTCCTGGGCTATCTGGGACCAGCCACAGTCACTGGTTATTTTGCAGATATGACAATGAGAATTAGGGAACTGTTCACATGGCAAAACGAATTCTATTAATGAAGAACTGATAAGGTCAAGGCCAACCTGGACTATTGTGAGACCCTGTCTCAAAAAATAGAAAACGGGGCTGGGGATTTAGCTCAGCGGCATAAGCGCCTGCCTTGCAAGCAGGCAGTCGTGAGTTCGATCCCTGGTACCGATAAAAACGAAAAAGACAAAAAAAAAAAAAAATAGAAAACAAACAAAAAATAATTTATAACCATTTATATAAGAAAGGATGAGCATTTACCTTGGGGCTCCATAAATAAAGAGTTACCTGGCAAATATATATTCAAATATATATTTGAAACAAAAATATATGGTGATTCTCAGCCTAAAAAATCTTTCCTAAAATAGAAAAGCGAATCATTAATTTTCACTGTCATTCTGTATTAAAACTTAATGCTAAGTCTCTCCAGTCACCCAATTTTTAAATGTATTCCACGCCTGGCATGGTGGTGCACACCTGTAATCCCAGGACTTGGGAGGCTGAGGCTGGAGAATGGCTGTGAGTTTGAGGCCAGCCTACAAACTGAGTTCAAGGCCAGCCTCAACTGAATAATGAAATCCTGTCTCAAAAATACAAAACTAACTAAATAAATGTATTCCTTTAAATTATCAAACATTTATTCAAAGTTACTGTAAGAGCAGCCTTTAGGGTATTTGAAACTATCCTTTCCCTAAGTAGGTCCAAATTCGATGCTAACTTTTAGTGAATATACTTTTTTTTTTAATTGGTACTGGAGATCGAACTCATGACTGCCTGCTTGCAAGGCAGGTTCTTATGCCACTGAGCTAAATTCCCAGCCCAGTGAACATACTTTTAATGGCTTGCTCTACTCAGAGGTTTTAAAGATGATTATCCAACTCAATTCCAATTTTAAATACTTCTGCAAGAGTGAAATTCTACAAATTTCCTCTACAGACTATTCTAATATTTACTGTCCTGGTAGTTTCTGACCTAATTTGGCGAAGTCAAGTTGATTCACATTTTTTCACTTATCGGGATTGTGTACTGGGGCTACTGTTTCACCAGCTGCCATAAGGAAAGTGCACGGCGAGATTATTCTGTTATTTGCTATAAAAATTCTATAGAATTGGAAGAACCAAGAACATCCTGGATTGGCATCAGGAAGTCGTCGCCGTTCCATGTCGGACAACGCTTTCTCCGGTCTCTAAACTGTGTGTTGGGTTATCCTCGATTCATTTTAGAGTCCAAAGCCTGGCAGATTTTACCAACAGCAGCGTTTCTCCAGCTGGATATGCAAAGTAGCTTTTTGTTCTCTCTGCCTCTGACTATCTATCTCCAGCAAGCTTATAATGGAACTACTTAAGGCGTCATTCAGAATTCTTGTAATGGAGAAGTAACTCATTTTTGAAGCTGAAGATCCCACTTAATTGATAACTATTTCTGTTGTACAGGGTGTTTATACAATATTTTCCTTAAACTTGAACTTAATTTGGGGGGGATGATGAGTTTAGACTCCTTTTTAATTCTCTATAGGCCTACATCCCAGACAGTCGCAATTTTTTCCTCTTTGTTTTTTTCTTTTGAAGACAGAAGAACATAGATCCTGCAGGGGAATTCTTAAGAAATGTCAGAGGACTGGTCCGATGGAGAGGTTAGGAGTTACAGAAAAATATTTGAAAAACAGAAATGCAGCCTTTTCAAACCTGGTGTAGTGCCCAGAATAACTTGTTGGCTTTGTTTTTCATTTTTAACATA